GACAGAAGAATCCTTAATTGAAAAAGAGCTTGCACATTGATGTTTATTGCAGCATTATTCACAATTGCTAAGACATGGAACCAACCCAAATGCCCAGGAACAGAGAAATGGATTGAAAAAGTGTAGCACATATACTCTATGGAATACTACTCAACCATAAAAAGCAACAGGACCCTGGCTTTTGACAGTAAGTGGATGAATATGGAAGATTTACTGCTGAGTGAAGCAACCCAGGCTATGAGGGAGAGACATTGTATGTCTCCACTTGATATATACCGAACGTCCACACTCTATGGCTGAAACTGAATGACTAGAGGATATAGGAACACAGAAAATGGTTAGAGACCAGATACAGTATGGGAAGAGGGTGGGTGAAGGAGGAAAGCTGAGGAAAGACATTAAGGAGAGAAATAGAGAAGCAAGGCATTTGTGGGACAAAGAAAAGGTTATTATCTGTTGAAGATAGCGTGCATAATATTCTCAACTGGACTGGTGAGAAATATATACATGTTGGAATATTCACTTTATAAGGTAAGTGACATATATGATTGAATGTATAAAAGAAATTGAAATAAAAAATAATCTTAGATCAAAAAAAAAAAGAAAGCAACTCAAATACCCACCAAAACTACATTGACTACTGTAAATGGATACAATGGGATATTATATAGCAATGAAAACAAATAAATTATAGAAACAGCAGTTTATATATATTTAGTGAACAGAGCCAGACAGAAAATAAGGCTGCTATATGATTACTTTTTTGTAAGTTCCAAAACACAAGTCAAATAAGCTTTTATGTTTAGTGTGCATACTAAGGCATGCAAGGAAGTTAGTTATTGCCAGAAAAGTTAGGGCAATGTTTTTCTCTGAGGAGAGAAAGAATGCAGAAGTTGAGGATGAGAATGAAGTGTCTTTGAGGAAGCTAATGATATTCTCTCCTTATTTGTATTCTAATTATATAAATTAACTTTGATACCCCATCAAGTTGTATATTTTTATTTTGTGTATTTTCTCTGTGCCATATTTTATAATGAAAACAATTAAAAATTATTTATGATAAATATCTCCTTGCTGGTTTAATTCTATCTTTTTTCAAATAGTCTACTATTCGAAATGACTCTAAATTGCAGAGTTTGGAATATCACTGCTATTGCACAAGAATTTTGGACTCCATTATGAAGAAGAAATAACAGCTGCCAGATGAGTGAATTCAGGATACATAATAGAATGAGATCTTAGCATGGCAGATAAAAGTTTATGCATGTGGGAACAGCAGATGAATAAAGGTTATATCATTGGACTCCCACATGATGGACCACTTCGAGTCCTGGACCAGGCAGCTTGAAACTCACAAATCCTGAGAGGAGAATGACGAAGGGATTGTGGGATGGTCATCTCTCCTGGGGTGGGTGATTTCTCACCTTCTGTCTGGTGATATTTTTGAAATACAATGGTATAGTCAGAGGAAAAGAGGCCTATCAGTAAAATGTCCAGCCATCATGACTTATGTGCTGAGCTCTTTGGAGGTGATGTAGAACCACAGTCAGGTGGATGCTGAAAATTGTTCATTCACAGGTGAAAAGAGACAAACTGGGTGTCTGGCTGACATGCAGTGGTAGAACATGTGGCTCACCAGGAAAGTACCAGGTTAGTAACTGGATACCTCCCTGAGCAATCATAATAAAAGATAAGCAAATTGTAGTAGATTCATACAATGGAAACTTAGAAACCTAAAGGCCCTTGTTTTGGATACATGGATTTGACAACATAGATTTGAAGTGGTAGTATACAAAAAAAACTTATTTTAAAAATTAAATTTGGGACCAGCAGTTGGCATAATGGCTATGTCGCTGGATTCCCATGTAGTTGACCGTGTTTCAAGACTCCGTGGCTTAAACTCATGCCAGGTACGTGTGTGTGTGTGTGTGTGTGTGTGTGTGTGTGTGTGT